GATTTTATGTCTGAATGATCTGTCCATTGCTGAAAATGGGTTGTTGATGGTTTAGATCTATTAATATTTCCTTTTCATATTTAGGTACTCTGATGTTGGGTACATATATGTTCAAAATTGTTATAATCTCTTTCTGAATTGACTGCTTTATCATTATATAATAACCTTGTCACTTTTAATAGCTTTGACTTAAAATCTACTATATCTGATATAAAATAGCTACTATTGCTCTCTTTGGGGTTCCATTTGCATAAAATATCTTTTTCCATCTTTTCACTTTTAGTTTATGTGTAAAGTAACAGATGAAGTGAGTCTCTTGAAAACAGCTGTTGGCTCTTATTTTTCTTAAATCCATTTAGCTACTCTATGTCCTTTTATTGGAAAGTTTAATCCATTTACATTTAAGGTCAGTATTGATAGGTAAAGGCTTACTACAGCCATTTAAAAAATTGTTCTCTAGTTATTTTATAGTACTTTTCATTCTCTCTTTCTGTGTTCCTTTGCAGTTAAATGATTTTCTTCAGTTCTATATTTTGATTCCTTGCTTTTTGTTTCTACTGTATTATATGTTTTTGGTTTTTGATTATCATGAGGCATATAAAAACATGGTATAGTTATAAAAGGGTATTTTAAACTGATAACAATTTATGATTACAGTAGAAAAGGAGAAAAAATACTCTTCTTTTTTATTTATTTATTTTTATTAAATGATAGCTGTATACATTAATGCAGACATGGGGTACAGTGTAGTGACTGGAAAGATCACCTATATTTCTGTCTAACAAGGGTACAAGTGAACTTTTCTAGAACTAGAATATAAATGTTTTGACACAAATACTCTTTTCTTTAACTCCACTTAGCCAACATTTCAAGTTTTTGATGCTGCAATTTATGTATTTTATGTTGAATATCTCTTAACAAATTATTGTGGTCATTATTATTTATTTTATTTTATTTTTAAATTTCAAAATATTAATGAGATGCAAATGTTTCTGGTTACATGGATCACTTTTGTAATGCTTTAGTCATAGCATACCCATCACGCAAACAGTATTCACTATACCCATGTAGGTAGGTTTTTGCTCCTTCCATCTTGCTCTTCCTTTCTTTCTCCCCCCTGCTTGATTTCCACTGAGTTTCCCTTTTCTCTATGCACATGTGGTAGTTTCAATTTAATAATGAGTACATGTGGTACTTGCTTTTCTATTATTGACATACTTCACTTAGGAGAATGGTCTCTAGTTCATTCCAAATTGTTTCAAAAAGTATTCATCCTTTTTATTGCTGAGTAGTACTCCATGGTATATATATACACCACATTTTATTAATATACTCATGAATTGATGGGCACTCAGGTTGATTGCATATCTTTGCAATTGAGAACTGTGCTGCAATAAACATTTAAGTGCTGGTGTCTTTTTGATAGAAAGACTTCTTTTCCTTTGAGTAGTTCACCAGTAGTGGGATTTATGAATAAAATGGCAGGTTTACTTTTAGTTCTTTGAGGAATCTCTGTGTTGTTTTCAATGAAAATTTCATTAATTTTCAGTTCCTCCAAACAGTCTTTCTTTCTGCATCTATGCCAGCAACAGTTGTTATTTGACTTTAATGGTTTTGTCTTTTAACCTTCATACTAAAGATATTTTATACACGAACATTACATTATAGAGTATTCATAATTTGACTATGTACTAACATTTTTCAGTGAGTTATATATTTTCAGATATGTTTACTTTTCTCATTGGCATTCATAAGTCACTGAATAACTCATTTTAATATTTCTTATAAGACAGATCTGTTGGTGATGAATTTCCTCAGCTTTTGTTTGTCCAGAAAAGTATAGATTTGCTGGGCACAGTATTCTTGGTTGACAGTTTATTTCACTTGGCACTTTGACTATATTATCTTAATCTCTCCTAGCCTGTAAGGTTTCTGCTGAGAAGTCTGCTATTAGCCTTATTGAGACTCCCTTATATGTTATTTGCTTCATTTCTCTCACAGTTTTCAGCATTTTCTCTTTGTTCTTGATTCTTCACATTGTGATTATAATATGGTATGTAGTGTCTTACTTTGATTGAATCTGACTGGAGACCTTTGACCTTACATTTGGAAAATTTTCTGTTATTATTTCTTTAAATAATCTTTCTACACATTTCTCTCTCCCTCTATTCTCTCTTGAATAGCAATGACCATACAGAAATGAAGAAGATAAAGGGAGTTCCCTGAGGAAGAAGATAAGGTGGAGGGAGGGCAGTGACTGTAGTTCAGTGGATAGGGCAGCAGACACATATACCTAGGCTGGTGGGTTCAAACCCAGCTTGGGCCAGCTAAACAACGATAACCGCAACAAAAAAATATAGCTTGGTTCTGTGGCAGGTGCTTGTAGTCCCAGCTACTTGGGAGGCTGGGGCAAGAGAATCGCTTAAGTCCAGGAGTTTGAGGTTGCTGTGAGTTGTGACACCACAGCACTGCCCTGAGGGGGAGATACTGAGACTCTTACTCAAAAAAAAAAAAATCCTATTTGGTTCTTCTTTATAGTTTCTATTTCTTTGCTGAGACTTTCTAATTTTTCATTTGTTTCAAAGGCGTGCATAATTTCTTGAAGAATTTTTATAATGGGTTCCATTAAGTTGAGATCTTCCTGGTTTGGGGTATGACAAGTGATTTTCAATAATGTCCTGAAAATCTGGATTAGTTTTCTATAAGAATTTGTATCTTATTTAACTCTTCTTTTGAGCATACTTTTTCTGACACTACATACCAGGGGAAAGGGGATGCTCCTTGAATCCTGCATGGTGAGGATGAATTCCATTTTATATATTGAGCCTTCCTTGATACATGGAGGAAGAAGTGCTTTATTACTGCTTTATCTACTGGGTGGGGTAGAAATTCCGGCTCCTAACACTACTCTGGATGGGAGAGGCAGGTGTCTTGTTACAATTCACCACATGGCATCCACTGATGCTGCATTACCACTGAAAGGGGGTGAAAATCCTGACTCAACTAGGCCTTCTCTCATACCATTTAGTGAAGAGGGGAAGGGATGAAAGTTAAGGATCCCCATGTGGTCCCCACTGATACTATAGGAAGGGAGCCTTGTTAAACCCAGAGGGGATGAAAGTTCCAGATCCCTACTTTGTCTTCACTGACACACTGTGACAGTGGGCAAGGTGGAGAAATGCCCGCCTTGTTGAAGCTGGGCTAGAGTGAAAGTTGGGGCTTTTTAGTGAGCTTTTATTGATTGGGAAAGAGGGTGATGGTGCACAGCTTTCTTCCATGGTGTTTGGCTCAAGTAGAATAGTTATTGGGTTAAAGTTATTTGTCTTGCTAGGCTTCTCCTTTCCTAGGTTTTCTTCCTTGGGGCTTTTGTTGTCTATGCACATTGGCATTTTCACGTTGCTGCTTCTCGAGGACTTAGTATAGGACCTATTAGGCAAAATGAAAACCCAGCAACCTCATCACTATGTTGGTCCTCAGATCCCTAGCTAGCCTGCCTTCTTCTTTCCACCTTTTAGAGACTTAAATGTTCTCCTGTACTTAGCATCTATTTAGAAATACATCTACTTTATCTTGTCTAGAACCAAAAGTCCCATTGCAGTTATGTTTTAAGAGATTCCTTATCTTTTAGGGATAATACTGAAATATTTAGGAATAAAATGAAAAAAAAATATATGATAGTTTCTTTAAAATAATATGGGAGAAGAGAGAGTGGAAATATAGATGTAATAAGATTAGCTGTGTGTTAATTGTTCAGGCTGGGTGATGGTTCCATAAGCATTTATTACACTAGTTTCTCCACTTTTATTTAAGTTTGAACATTTTTATCATAAAAAGTAAAAAAGAAAATTTACCCTCCCTCTTCTGTATATTATGGGCTTGAGGAGAAAAAGATGGAAGTAGAAAGACTGTTGGAAAGTTTTAACAAGAATCTTGGTACAAGATAAATGCCTAAATAAAGGCAATGATATTAGCAATGAAAAAGTATTTAGAAGTACAACTGGCAATATTTGGTGATTAATTAATTGGTGATTCAATTAATTGAATCAGCTTGGTGATTAGGTAGGTATTCATTACAATAATGGAGACAAAGAGCTCAATAGAGTCTGATTCCCTTTCTGATGTTTGACTGTTGACAGCTTTCCAGTCCCACCAACCACTCCATTTTCCATTTGCCTCTACATCTGGGAAGGTGATAAGACAGTCCAAGTGCAAATTCCTTTCGTGCCAGTCAAAACTCTCACCCCCTAATCATGATAAACCTTAAATCCAGTCTCTTCTTCCTATCCTTTCAAGCTTTTTGAGGAAAAATTAACTTTCTCTGCTCTCCCTAGAAAGCCATTTATGTGGGAAATAAACATTCCACATCTTGGAATGTGTTTGACAACATCAGTCTCAACATCCAAACCAAAGTTAGGGGAAGGAAGTCCATATTGCCTCTTCTTGGTGACCAGAACATTTAAAAGTAGGAAAAATAGATTATTTTTGTATCGGGGTATGGGAGACAGGAAAGAAGAGTTTAATTTAGACAGTTCAATTTAGACATACTGAGTTTCATGTACCTATAGATACAGAGTATATAGCAGGGTACCAAACGCACATAGAAAGCACTCAAAAATGTTAGTTTCTTTTTCCTATAAGCCTCTATATTCCTCTTTCTTTTGACTTAAGAATTTTATATATAGATTTTACCAAATAATGGAGGCTTTATAATAACCATAATAATGACAATAATACTTATCAGTTATTGATCATCTAGTATGTGCCAGGCATTGTATTACAGTATTTCCAGATTTTATATAGTGTTTAATCTTTACAGTAATTCTGTGAGGTAGGTATAATTTACATTTTATAAATAAAGACAATTGGGGTTTTGAAGTCACACAATGAGTAGATTGCTAAACTGTATTCAAATCCAGAATAGTGAAACAATAAGTCTATACTTTATTACTATGCTATACTTCTCTCTATGTGAATTAAACTAGATAATATCCATCACTTACTTCATAGTATACAGCATGTACAGGATATCAGCTTGTTCCTGTAAGCTTGAGGTCTCCTTCAACTGCAAAACCAGTGCTTTGAAGTCCACTTCCCCAGACTGGTCTCTGGGCAGATGTATTTCCACATGAACAGAGGGGATCTTTAGTTTGAGAAATGAAAAGAAATTAAGTGAACAAGTGCTTAACTTAAATTATAACATAGAATGAGTTACCTTTTTACCTATAAACATTTCTATAAGAATTCTCTAGATGTTGATGAAAAGAAAAGCAGAAATAATAATACCTTCAAGCCATATGATATGGCAATGTAATTTCCTTTATGTTTGACCAGAAAAACATGCTCATTTTAAAAGGGAACCGAAAAGATATGTATCTTCACCAGAATAGCATTTTGCCTACCACCAGTTGCTAACAGGTACCATAATGGCTAGTTCTGTTATTTTTGATAAAGATGGCAGTTTTGCAAAAATCTGATGAAAATATTTCTTGTGTAAATTTACCTGGTCCTCTTGTTGGGGATGAGGTGAGTCAAGTAAGTTGAATGAAGGCCGGGAAGCTTGTAATAACTTCATAGGAATATACATGTGAACATCTGCAAGAGGTTGACATTTATGGGAAAGGTTATATAATTAAGAGAGCAATAAAAACACAGTTGATCCTAACAATGAGGTCACATATGAGTCGGTCATTATAGAACAAGAATGAGAGGCTTGGTGCCCATAGCATGGTGGTTATGGTGCCAGCCACATACAACAATGGTGGTGGGTTCAATCTTGGCCTGGGCTAGCTAAACAATGACAATGACAACTACAACAAAAAATAGCTGAGCATTGTGGCAGGTGCCCGTAGTCCCAGCTACTTGGGAGGCTGAGGCAAGAGAATCACTAAAGCCCAAGAGTTTGAGGTTGCTGTGAGCTGTGACACTATGGCACTCTACTGAGGGTGACAAAGTGAAATTCTGTCTCAAAAAAAAAAAAAAGACAACCTTCTTTCACAAACTCTGGCACTCTACCAAGGGCAACATAGTAAGACTGTCTCAAAAGAAAAAAAAAATGAGAAATCTCTCCTTTCTATTGAAGAAAAGATATATGATCATTAGATAATTTAAAGATATGCAACTAATAAATATATTTTGAATTTCTAGAATTGTAGAACTGGCTGGAGATATAAGATATTGAAGGTACTAAAGTAATCAATACTGCAATGGTGTTATCACTGACATTCTGATAGACAAGCACATATAAAAGAAAGAACTCAGTTATATTTTAACTTTCCTAGGTGAATATCTGGCTGTAAGTGGTTGGATTTATCTGCAAATAGATGAATGGATGCTCCTATCTAGGGAATCAAAACATGTAGTAGCTGGCCTACTTTGAGGTATTCCTAAGACTTTTTACTTACAGTCCATTATTGAGATCCTTATCATAACCTCTAAGCAGAGACTCTCAGCACATTCACCACTTTATAGACACAGAAAGAGACCCAGAGCTAAAATAACTGTTCATACAAGTAAGTAGTAAATCTGAGAATTAAGCTCAAGTTTCCTGATTCATAATTGAGAAGTATAACTTAATAAAGTTCATGTTTTCATATAAGCTCTTCTTAAGGGAGCATACTCTAAGAGTGCTAAGCTTTCCCCTATTATAATCTTAAATGACCCTTGGTGTTTATGTTTAATATCTTTGGTTAGTAATTGTCAGTAAAGTTTTAGACAACAGGAACATGTGTCTCAACCATTCTCAATATCTGTAAAATGTTAACATTCAGGTCATTTTGGTCTGTATGGCCAAGGAATCATTCTTTCCCTCCATATGCAGCTACCACAGGGGCATTGCACACTCTTAGGAATCATGACTACTCCTGGAAATGTGTGGTAGAAGACATCCTCCATGGCAAATACAACTAAAGGAGGGTAGTTGTCATAGGGAGAATGGCAAAGCTGTGAATAACAAATACTGTATTTGATAAACACAAGTCTACATGGCTAGAACTGGCATAAGGGAACAAAATGTAGCTTACTCAAGGGACACTATTTCCCTTCTCCATTGCATGGCTATCTTGTCAATAGTTATGCAATGCATTCTCTTTAATAAAATTACTTCTAAGGAAAAGCCCCCTCTACCACTTTTAACTACATGTTAAAATTTAATATGTGTCATGTATCTTGTTCTGCTTCTTCTATTCTGTTACTGATTAAACCAGAGTATATCCATGGGAAAACTATACCCAATTCATTAATTTTACAAATAATTGAGTGTCCAATATGTTCTAGACACTGAAAGCTGGGGGTAAAGCAGTGAACAAAACAAAGTCTGCTTACATTATAATCAATACCCCACCCCCATCCCAGGCTTCATAGCATCCTGTTGCAGACTGTAGTGAGTCATGGAATTACTCACTCTGTACATGTAGCTCCTTGGCCTTGGTCACCAAGGACATTAAGTTGCAGGTTGTCTGCACAGCAGCTCGAAAGCGATCTAGTCCTCCCTTCTGTGAGGTAGAGACTAGTTTAGGATGGGGAACAGTGTGCGCCAAAAGGTGATCTAAATAACGAATAACTTCATCACCACGGCAAGCTGCAAGGTTAGTGGAGTAAGGGGAAGAGAAAAAAATGAATATTTTAGTTACTTCCCAATTCTGACACAGCAAACAGAATGATCTGTCTCTGTGCCCACAACACAGCACCAGAAGTAGGTTCTTTTTAGCACATGGGGGTGGGGACAGAAGCTTGTGATCATTATATGGCCTCATAGTATTAAGATTTGGAGATTGTGGCCATTTACCAAGACCCACATGTTATTCAACTTAGCTGAGAAAATATTAGGGTTCCTGAAAGCAGTATATATGTATTTAAGAACAGGTGGAGCTTGCTTTCACAGCTTAATCTGTGTATGTGAGTGTGTGCACATCATGGTAACACTGGCGCTGGTCATTGTGGTAATAGAAGAGAGGTGGAACAGAGATCTCAAAGTATGGGAGACTTTTGTGAGGAATGGTTGGGCAATGACAAAAATCTTCCACCAAAGACTGAGCCTACCTATAAAGAAACAGATTATACAAACAGAAGATATAATTATTAATGAAAAAATTTTTTATGTGGCATTGTTATACAAAGGACTAGTGGCTAGATACTGGTCTTTTTAGTCACCTTATTTGTTTATTCACCAAATATTTATTTATTTTTGTCTTTTTTTTTGTAGTATTTGGGATTCAATGAGAGTACAAAGAATTAGGTTACGCTTATTGTATTTCTTATGAAAAGTATCTCTTACAATTGAGTCCCCCCAAAGAGGTATGCCATACACCATGGCCCCTCCATCCCTCTCTCCTCTCCCCATTCCCTGATTCCCCTACTACCTACCTTGCATTAGATAATCTACTGCCTTCATATTAGAATTGAGTACATTGGATTCTTGCTTCTCCATTCTTGCAATGCTTTACTAAGAAGAATGTGTTCCACATCCATCCAGGTTAATACAAAAGATGTAAAGTCTCCATCTTTTCTAATGACTGAATAGTATTCAATGGTATACATATACCACAGCTTTTAATTAATTCTTGGGTTGGTGGGCATTTAGGTTGTTTCCACATTTTGGTGATTGTAAATTGAGCTACAATAAACAATCTAGTGCAAATGTCCTCATGATAAAATGATGTTTTCTATTTGGGGTAGATGCATAGTAATGGGATTGCAGGCTAACATGAAGGTCAAATATGAGTTCTTTGAGGATTCTCCATAGTTCCTTCTAAAAAGGTGGCATTAGTGGGCAGCACCTGTGGCTCAAGGGAGTAGGGCACTGGCCCCATATGCCAGAGGTGGCAGGTTCAAACCCAGCCCTAGCCAAAAACTGCCAAAAAAAAAAAAAGTGGCATTAGTCTACAGTCCACCAGCAGTGTAAAAGTGTTCCCTTTTCTCCACATTCAAGTCAGTATTTGCAGCTTTAAGACTTTGTGATGTGGACTATTCTCACGGTGTTTAGGTGTTATCTCAAGGTGGTTTTAATTTGCATTTCTCTGCCGATCAGAGATGATGAGCATTTTTTCAAATGACTGTTTGTGTCCCATAAGTTTTGGTAGCTTATTTCTTCATTGTTATGCTCAAGAAAGTTAATGATTTCCTTTTTTATCTCTTCCTTGATCAAACTATCATTCAGCATAAGGTTATTTGATTTACATGCCTTTGTGTGGGGATGACAATTTTTGTTGGAGTTGAGTTCCACCTTTATTGTATTGTGGTCTGAGAAGATACAAAGTATAATTTCAATTTTTTTGATTTTTTGAGGTTTGATTTATGTCCTAGGATATGATCTATTTTGGAGAATGTTCCACGAGCTGATGAGAAGAATGTTTACTTTTTAGCTTTGGGATGCAGTGTTCTACATGTCTATTAAGCACAGTTGTTCTGGGTCATGTTTAAGTCCCTTGTATCTTTTTGTTTAGTTTCTATTTAGAGGATTGGTCTACCTCTGTAAAGGAGTGTGAAAGACCCCTGCTATTCTGGTGTCATAGGATTTCAAATTGCTCAGACTAATTAAGGTCTGATTCAAAAATCGGGGAGCATTTAAGTTGGGCGCATAAATATTTAAAATTAAAATGTTTTCTAGTTGTATTGTTCCCTTGACCAATATGAAGTGTCCATATTTGTCTTTTTTTGACATTAGTTGCTTTATATCCACCTGTATTAGAAAATAAGATTGCAACCCCACCTTTCTTCTGATTTCCATTTGCCTGAAAAATTGTTTCTATGCCTTAACCCTGAGTTTTGCTTTGTCCTCAAGGCTATGTGTGTTTCCTGTATGCATCAAATTTATGGCTTGTGCTTTTTTATCCAATAAGCAAGCCTATGTTTCTTCAGTGAGTAATTCAAGTCATTAACATTCAGTAAGAGAATTGATAAGTGTTGTGGAGGTTTATTCATCTTATTTTGTGAAAGTTCATTGCTTAGTCTTATCTTTTGCATCATTGTGCAGGGTGCATTTTGTCCTTAGTTTCCAGGTGTTTACTTTGTTGGTAGTCCATTGTGATGGTCAGTTTGGAAAATACGTCTAAGTATTTCCTGTAGAGCTGGTCTTGTTGTGGCAAACTTCCTCAAGGTTTTCATGTCAGTAAATGATTTGATTTCTCCATCAGTTTCAAAGCTTAGCTTAGCAGGATATTGAATTCTGGGATGAAAGTTGTTTTATTTAAGTAGGTTAAAGGTAGATGATCATTCCTTTCTGAGTTAAAAAGTTTCATCTGAGGGAAGCAAGATGGCGGCTGAGTAACAGCTTCCTTGCAACTGAGCACAGTGAGACTTGGGAGAGAAGAATCCAGGCATCTCTGGATGGTGTGATCTGTCCAGAAACATCCCTTTGTGGACACAGGGAGTCAGCGAGAGACTTCTGGACCCCATAAGGAGGACAAAAACAGTGGAGAACGGGACTTATCAAAAGCCTCATCTAAAGGCACAGTAACTTAAAAAGAAAGAGGAAGTGAAAGGAAAATTAGGGCAAGGAAATAGATGAAAGAAAACACTCCTGAGGAAAAATCGGCAGAAAAATCTTGGCAACATGAAAAACCAGTCCAGCACAACCTCTCCAAGGGACCATGAGGTAGCTACTGCAGAGGATTCCACCTATGAAGAAATGTTAGAAATGAGAGAAAGGGAATTCAGAATACAGATAATGAAAACAATGAAGGAAATGATGGAAACAATGAAGGAAACTGCTGATAAAGTGGAAAATAACCAACAGGAAATCAAAAAACATAATGAAATAAGAGATGAACAATATGAAGAACATAGAAAGGATATAGCGGAACTGAAGCAGTCAATTAGGGAACTTAAGGATGTAACAGAAAGTATCAACAACAGACTACACCATGCAGAAGAAAGAATCTCCGAGATAGAGAACAAAGCTCTTAAGATAACTGAGACAGTCAAAGAGTCAGAAAAGAAGAGAGAGAAAGCAAAATATTCACTGACAGAATAATGGGACTTCATGAAGCATTCAAACATACAAGTTATAGGTATCCCAGAAGGGGAAGAAGAATGCCCCAGGAGAATGGAAGCCATACTAGAGAATATTATAAATGAAAATTTCCCAAATATCACCAAAGATTCTGACACACTCCTTTCAGAGGGATATCTGGGACCCCAGGTAGCCTCAACTCTAACAGAGCTTCTCCAAGACACATTGTGATGAACCTGTCCAAAGTCAAGACAAAAGAAAAGATTCTTCAAGCTGCAAGGAGTAAGCACCAGTTGACCTACAGGGGCAAATCCATCAGGGTGACTCCAGACTTCTCTAATGAAACTTTTCAAGCAAGAAAACAATGGTCATCCACTTTTAATTTAATTAAACAGAAAAATTTCCAACCCAGAATTCTATATCTTGCTAAGCTAAGCTTTAAAATTGATAGAGAAATCAAATCAATTACTGATTGATATACAAACATTGAGGAAATTCACTGCAACAAGACCAGCTCTACAGGAAATACTTCAACCTGTTCTACACACTGACCATCAGGATGGATCAAAAGCAAAGTAAGAACTCAGAAATTAAAGGACAGAACCTAACTTTGACAATGACGCAAAAGATAAAACCAAGCAATGGACTCTCACAAAATAAGATGAATAGAACACTACCACACTTATCAATTATCTCAATAAATGTTAATGGCTTGAATTCCCCACTGAATAGGCATAGACTGGCTGAATGGATTAAAAAACACAAGCCATCCATTTGCTGTCTGCAGGAAACACACCTACCTTCAAAAGACAAATTAAAACTCAGAGTTAAGTGTTGAAAGACAATTTTTCAGGCAAATGGAATTCAGAAGAAAAGAGTAGTTGCAATCTTATTTCCAAATACATGTTAATTTAAAGCAACTAAAGTCAAAAGAGGCAAAGATGGTCACTTTATATTGGTCAAGGGAAAAATACAAGAAGACATTTCAATTCTAAATATGTATGCACTCAACATAAATGCTCCCAGATTCTTGAAACAGACCTTACTCAGTCTGAGCAATATTATATCCTATGATGCCATAATAATAGAGGATTTTAACACTCCTCTTACAAAGCTGGACAGATCCTCTAAACATAAATTAAAGAAAGATATAAGAGACTTAAATGAGACCCTAGAACAACTGTGCTTGATAGACGCATATAGAACACTCCATCCCAAAGATAAAGAACATACATTCTTCTCATTGTCTCTTGGAACATTCTCCAAAATTGATCATATCCTAGGACACAAAACAAACCTCAACAGAATCAAAAGAATTGAAATTTTACCTTGCATCTTCTCAGACCACAAGGCACTAAAGGTGGAACTCAACTCCATCAAAAACGTTAAACTCCACACGAAGGCATGAAAATTAAACAACCTTCTGTTGAATGACAGCTGGGTACAGGAAGAAATAAAAGAGGAATTCATTAACTTCCTTGAACACAACAATAATGAAGACACAGGCTACCAAAACCTGCAAAAGCAGTTCTGAGAGGATAATTTGTCTCTTTAGATGAGCACATCTGAAAAAGAGAAAGAGAGCATATCAACAAACTCACAAGCCATCTTATGGAATCAGAAAAAGA